AAACTGTGAGAGAGAGACAGAGAGAAAGAAACCAGTAAACCATCAATACGAACCTCGTGTAGTCAGTAGATATCTTCCCATAAAACATTAACCCAAAATATAATCCCCAAGCACATAAAACACACATCTAGGAAAACAATCAAATTTATAGCAACTAGTACGAGGAATAGAAGGGGAAAAAGGATCAAAAGAAAGTTAAAAACCTGATCCTTGAAACCTCGTGAAAGCATTTCATCTGCTTCATCCAGAACAAACATCTTAATGTAATCTGGACGAAGTGACTGTCTCCGCAACATGTCGAAGACACGACCGGGAGTACCAACAACAACGTGCACTCCACTGGAAAGAATACGCTGATCTTCACGAACGCTAGTGCCACCAACACATGCATGAACCTTGACACCAAGATAATCACCTAGAGCGCGCATAACCTTTTCAATCTGCTGAGCAAGTTCTCGAGTGGGTGCAAGAACCAACGCCTGGCATTCAACTAACCCATAATCAAGCTGCTGAAGAATTCCAGAGCAGAAAGTGGCTGTTTTTCCAGTTCCAGACTGTGCTTGTTGAATCACATCAAGTCCTTTGCAAAAGGGAACAATTCCTCTTTGCTGAATTGCCGAGGGCTTCTCAAAACCTACAAATAAGTTCAGGCCATGTTATCAGTTTTAATGTTGCTACAAGAACAATTTACATGTCAACATACACAAATCTTTTATGTTAGGAAATGGTCCTAAACCTAACTTCGATTGAAGATCACGCCACTTATGTACTGATATAAAAAGACAAACAAGACACTAACAGCATAAGCTGACCAGCTTATATTTTGACAAGCAATCAAATAAAGATGAACCACGTATGATGATAGCACACAGCTACAACAGTGATAGAGGTATGGAATGTATGGTAGGCAACTTAAGAAGTAAACTTGCCTACAATCCTCCTTAATTTCAAAGCAAAGGTTCAATGAAGTACCAGTACTATAAACTTTTTATTTTTATTTTTAATTTTCCAAAAGAATATATCATGGTGAGAATGTGAGTCCGTGACATACCATAAGCATAGATGCCTCTAAGGAGGTTCTCCTGCAATCCCATAGCATCAAAACTCTCAAAAACCTCATCATAGGATGTGAAGAAGTCTGATCCATCACTGCCAAGTCTGCTCCCATCATTTATCCAAGAATGAGAATTTGAAATTAGCGATACACAAAATAGTGGGGCTTTGCTATCATATCTATCAGGAAACATGATTATTAGTAATAACAATAGAAAAACTTATGGAAACTTACAACTCATTCATTTTGGCATCATACTGGCGAGCATCAAATTGGGATCCTTCTGGTACCACACCTGCCATGACTGCAAAAAACACGAACCATATGTCCAACTCAAAACTAAAGCTCACAAAAAACTTGATTCGTCAAGGTATAATATCCAAAGCTTCAAATGTTACATTCAAAGGGAGATCTTTTTCGCATCATTCATTTTTTTGATAAGTTGTCTGTCACAAACCAAGGATAGAAGAACGATTAATTAAACATAATTACTTTTGTCATTTTATTTGCAGCCGTTCTATATGAAGTTCAAAGCATATTCACAAAGTTTGCTACAACCTCAAACTTAAGTAGATATGCAATGTGTGTGCACTAAAGCCTGATGCTTTCTTCTTCTTCTATGGATAGATCAGAGTGGACACATAAATGCACTTTTCTCTTGCTCTCACAGTTTATTAGAAGAGAATATGTGAAGCCTTTATTTTTCACTTGGAAAAGTTAAAAATCTTAACTTTAAATGTTTCTATAGTTTCTTTACTGCCCATAAACTCAGTGCCTAGACACCTAACCTCTTGCATAAAATTAATACAAATCTATAAAGACGTCTCATAACACAGCTTAGTTGTGTGAAATCAACCTTTTAATGGGATTTAGGAATTAACATAAAAATCAGCTAAAAACCCACTACATAACAAACTAGAACAAGCTTTAACAAACAAATCCAAACAGCACCGCATCAAATTCCATACAAGAGTTCAGCAAACACACACTCGGATTAAGCATCAGCGGAATCGAATTCACCGCTTACGCGATTGACCCAAATCAAGGGAAAAAAAAAAAGCTTCATACAACAACAAATCGCAAACCAACCAAAACGAAACAAACAAAATAATTAAACGGAATCCCGTAGAAATCATATCAGTTTGCCTCTTTTTTTTCCTCTCTTTCAAAAAAATCAACAAAAATCGAAAACAGTCGATCTACCACAGAAAACGGCAAAATCGTAGCAGAAAAACAAGAAATCTAAACTCGAGCTAAAGACACAAACTTGAACCGATAAGAAGCGAAAAGGAAGAGTGAGATTGGAGAAGGGAATCGAAGAGTACCTGATAGAAGTTAGAACTCGAAGAAGAAGAAGATTTCTGTGAGAAAACTTTGTTTGAGAGTTGTGGGTTCTTTCCCAAACTCCTTGGATCTCTCGGTGGTGTGTCAGTGAATTGGAGGGATTTTGGAGGAGTCGAGGAAGGAACGCAAACGCAGCAGAGGAGTAAAGAGGATTAGGGAAATCTAAAGGGATCCCTTTATGCCTCACTTTTTAGTTTCCCGATTTTACCCTTCCCTTTCTTGAATATTACTGCTGTTTTGGAAAATTGCATCCTGGACCCTAACCTTTTATACTGTCAAACTTAGGTCCCCAACTTCTTAAAATATGCCTTGAGGAGAAAGTGCGAGCCTTAGGCCCGTTTAGTTCATACATTTAAACGCATAATATTTCTCTTATAAAAGTTTGAATTAAAAAAAATTATGATTCTCACACAAAATTTGAATTCAAAATCAAAATCACTGACTTAAACTCATAAACCAAACAGCTTTTAGCTTATTTGTCCAATACAAATTGACTCAACAAACAATCTGATCGCTTAAACCATAGGTGTACCAACTATCATCGCTTAAACCACAGCAAGCCTCGTACTAGAATTAGTAGCAATGTTGTGATAGGGGGAGCTGACCACATTCTCTATGAAGGTTAAGGACGTTTCTTTTTTTTTATTTCACCCCATTATCCATGTATTATTATCTGTGTGAAGATGTAAAATAGTCCCCAACGATTGAGGTTTAGTCACTAAGTAGTAAGCACTAATTTTTTTCTCTCTTTTGGGCAAAGTAAATTTTCTCTGATGAAAAAAGTAAGATGGGATGAAATTGAGAATTCAAGAAAAAGAAAAAAAGAGATTTAGAATAAAGTAAGGTAATTATTAGATATAGATTTTCGTTAGTGAAGGTGTGAAATGGGATTTTGCTGTGATATTTCTTTCCACGTTGTTTGATTTTAAGAGTTTTGTGTTTTTCTCCTAATTTATTAAAAGGCAATTCTATTCATACACTTTTTTTTTTACTCTCTACACCTCATTCTAAATATACACTCCATATATTACTTTGCACACTCTTATTATTCCAAAACTGTCCTTAACTATTTTCATAACATTATTAATTCTTGATTACTCTATTTTTCCCTTTAAAAAAAAAGATTACTCTATTTTTCTTTTCACACTCACCATTTCATTTTTAGTTGAAGCTTTAAGCATGGAGCATTTTCTCATATGTAAAAAAAATTACTATTATATTTTTTAGAAAAATAAATGACATTTATAAATATAGAAAATTATTAGTGTTAAATTTACATTTTCTTGACGTTACTATTTAAGAACGTTATAGTAAATTTTTTAGGGTAAATGTCCTTTATTTTTCTAAAAAACCGTAACGTAATTTTTCTTTATGAAAAAACGCTTCATGCCTAAAGTTTTAATTAGAAAAAAAATAAAGAAATAGAGAGATAGACAAATGATAATATTAAATTAAGGAATTAACATGAAATAATGAGTGTGAAAAGAAAATGAATTTGTAAAGAATTAAATAATCTTATGAAAATAGTTAAGGGTAATTTTGAAATAATAAAGTGTATAAAAATCAAATTTAATCATTTTAAAATTATATGGGGTTTGTATTTAAAAGAGAAGTGTTGAGAGTAAAAACGAGTTTGATAGAACCATCCTTTATTAAAATGTAGATTTGCGTTTTTGCTGATTTTTTTTGGGTGAAATTTTGTATCATGTTTTGTTTTCTTAGCTTCTTTGGTGAGATTTTTTTTTCTTTGAAATGTTGATTAATTTTGACTTAACAATATGGAAGATCCTTTAAAGGAAAAGTACACGATTTGTTATGGTTTTATACATGTTTATTATTTATATTATTCTAAATAATTAAGTGTCATTGTGACTTTTTATTTTTTTATTAATTGAATGACAATTATTTTTTAATAATGGATTGGCATAAATAAAATTTTTTACCATCTTAAATGGTATTTTTAATTTTTTTCCCATCATTTAACGATAAAAATTCAGTGTGCGAGGAAAGACCCACTTGCATTACTTTCGTTATTTTGGGGAGTCACGGAATATGTTTAAACAAATTAAGACCTAAATGTAATTCCTTAAAAGTAAAAGGGACCAAAACTGCAATTTTCATTTTGATGTTTGTTTGTTTTTGTTTTTCCCCCTTTTTTGAAGGGGATTTTGATGTTTTCCAGCATCTTCTGGTGCCGTTTTGAGACGATTGGGCTGCTGCGCGTTGTCGTTTCCCTTCCCCTTTTGAGAAGAAAGTAATTTGCGATGTTAATTGCTTCTCGACTTTCGAGTAGCTTTCCCCCCCCCCCCCCCCTTAGCAAAGAACAGAGGAACAAGAAAGTCTTGGGTTTTGCTTTTTTCCGCATCAACCAAACTCGAGAGTTGGAATATGCATTAATCATTAATTAAAAAGAAAAAAGGAAAACCTTGTGATTTGATCCTTTAGAAGACATATTTCTCCCTCGTTTTCTTTTCTTTTCTTTTTTTTTTTTTTTTTTTTTTTTTTTTTTTTTATTTTTTGTGAACTAACCCAACTCCATTGAATTTGAACACAAAACTTCAAATCCAAAGGGGGGTGTTCATCATATTCAATATGCTTTTTAACTTCATTCAATTTGATTCGCATGCGTGAGGGGTTTTTTTTTTTTTTTTTTTCCCTCAGTACGTATCGCATTTTATCAGTTTTTAGAGAACGTCAATTAATGCAGTCAACCAATTATTCGTATTTTTGCATATTGGATGAGATCAATTTATAAGAGTATTTATAAATTTTATCAGCATATTGATTAGTGAGCATAGTAATAAAGGTAGAATTTAAGAGGGAGAAAACTAAAAAAAAAAAAAAAAAAAAAAACGTATTTTTGCATATTGGATGAGATCAATTTATAAGAGTATTTATAAATTTTATCAGCATATTGATTAGTGAGCATAGTAATAAAGGTAGAATTTAAGAGGGAGAAAACTAAAAAAAAAAAAAAAAAAAAGAAAGAGAGAAAGAAAATAGATCCAGGAGAAAAAAGATAGAGATAAAGAAAGTGTAAGATATTTACATATATATATATATATATATATATATATAAAAAAAATACTCTTAACAAAATTAGAATTATAAGTTCAAATGCCGTAAAATAAACAAGGCCTTTCATCTCCTAAAAATCACATAGTTCTAGACATACTTTTATGCTTTAAATTAAACATAGATAAGAGAAGAGAAAATATAATGGGGAATAGAAATGGCTATCGTGACTCGTCTTCCATCAGCAAAATTGATGGCAACCATTATCAGCAAAAACAAAAAACGCAACCAGAGCCTAATTTGGCCACATACAGAAGCAGCTCCGACATTGACGATTCAGTTGACAGAATTGGACTTGCTTTTGGGCCGAGCTTTATGAATGGGTTACACCCAGATAAAAGCCCAAATACGGGAATAGCTCAAATAAAGGCCCAAAAGACCCGGAAAGTTTGCCTTTGCTCAAAAGAACTTGGGCTGTTCGCAAGTCCTCAAACGAGGTGTCGCATCTTTCGGCTCTGGCTCTGGATAGACTTCAGACGGATGAATGATTGAAAAGTTTGGAATTCAACCAGTTTTTATTTTTCACGTTTTTTAAAAAAAATAATAATAATATTTTTAAAACGACATTTAGCACAATAAAGATAAAAGATTAAAATAAAAATAATTTTTTGATTTAGTGTAAAATAAGAGAGAAATAAAAACAACTTTTAATCGTTTTTCATTTTTTATTTTCGTTTTCTCCTCTCTCTCGAGTAGAGAGAAAGAGAGAGACATTATGAGTTTTTGTATACTGAAAATAATCTCTTAATAAAACTACTAAACGTATTTTTAAAAATAATTTCTATCTAGATTAAAAACGCTTTCATTTTTTATTTTTATATAAAAAATAAAATCATTTTAGAATGAGTTCTAAACGCGTCTAAAAAATTCCCGTGCGTGTTAAAGGTTTCCAGGTTTTTTTTTTTTTTTTCAAGAGGCGTACTGTTTGATATGTATTCGAAAAAAGTTATCCATATCTCATCGTCAGGGGAACAAAAAAAAGAGCAATCCAAATCTTGACTTTGGATTTAATACCACTAACGTGTGTCTGTCTAAGTTCATATATGTGGAGTCCATTATATAATAATAGAATGTTCGTGGACTCTTTTCAGGAAAGCAGATCGTGGACAAATAAAAAATAGACAGCTCAAGTAAGTGTGATTAAGTTTTACAAATTTTTAATGAAAAATACATACTTTAGTGATCATAATTGAAGCACTTTTTAAACATGATTCCTCTGTGATAAATATATCCAACTCCTGAAATGTGTTTCTAGAAAAAAAAAAAATCATTAAATGTGAATAATTTATTTTTTCTTTGAGGATAACCTTGTGACATTTTGGACGCTTATTCTTTTGGTTGCCATAATTTTGGGTGGGAGTATTTTCTGTTTTGAATATTGTAAAAAAATCACTGTACAACTAAATGAGTGTGTATACTGTATAGATTCGGAAATATATATTTTTTTTATAAAATTGATAATAAGGTTATTATGCAGGTTTTAGAAGTAGGAAAACCCTTGGATAACAATTGTATTAACGTATTAAATTAAGTTATTAACAGTTGATATTTTACGAATTTTAATATATATATATATTTGTTTATCAGGCTCTTTTTTATTTCATGTCCATGCACGAGATAAAATTGTGTCCTTAAAATTAAATAAAATCTTAAATCCATCAATCATGATGATGCAACGCATTGGTATTTTACTACCGGCGGTATGTATATTTGCTTGTATTTTTAGTTTCACTGATTAATTAATAATGCCTTTTTTTTTTTGTTGTGGAAATCTGTGTGATTGGTCATGGGATAGATGGAAAAAAAAAAAAAAAAACTCAGGTACACCGCAAATTCTTAGATCATTGACGTCGGAGGAAAAATACAAGGGAAGCCCCCTAAATCCTGCAGTGCCATTTTTTGCCGGGTGAGGGAATTAATTACCAAAATAAGAAGTAATATATATATATATATATATATATATTCAGCAAAACATATATATATATATATCCAGGGGACAACAAGTTTCTTTGTGTCAAATAATTAATTATACGAACTACTTTAAAAATAATAACAGTCACAGTAATTTCACA